TTGTAAGTAATAAGGTTTTTGATTTATGGTTAAATTTGAGTAAACCTCAAGGAATGGTCGTTTTTGTTTTGTTTCTATAACAACTGTTGTTATTGGTTTAGGTTTTATTAACTTACGGAATGCGCATTATTTTGGTCTTCTCTATATTTTGTCGTCTTTCATTGGACCCCAAATAGAGGGAAAACACAACACAAGGGGATGAAACTAATAATATAGAAGCTCGTAAAGGATTAGATTTGAACAAAGGTCGAGAGTTTGTATAACAAGAGAATTCATACTTTGTTCAAGTTACTAAAGCCGACAAAGAATAGGGGTGACAATTGTGTGGGTTGATGGGTTATAAAAGTTTAACGTGAACACGACGCATATAAATATTTGTTTTGTCTTGCACAACTCTAACCCCGGTTAGCCATAAACATGACAACCTACGTAACTAGTTTCATTATATGGGTTTGCGTGTTCATGGGTCAGATTTAGAAACAGGTTCGTGGGTCATAATTGGGTTTGTCTCTTGGGAAAAAAAATGAAAGAAAACACAAACATAAATTATAAACACCATACCCAAAAATCCCAAGTCAAACATAAACCAATCTTTTACTTACTAACAAAACTCTACACAACAACAAAAAGTGCACATAAGGCTATAAACGAACTGATCGTTTGATGAACTGTTCGTAAACCGTTTAGCATGAAGTTCGTTTATGTTCGTTTATTTAATAAATGAACAAACATGAACACAAATTGTCGTTAGTTTAGTTAAACAAACGAATATGAACAATGATCTCGTTCGTTTAATTATGTTCGTGAACATTCATTTATGTTGTTCGTTTATGTTTGTTTATGTTCGTTCATTTAAGTTCCTTTTATGTTCATATATGTTCAATTGTGTTTGTTTGCATCACTATATTATATGTTCATTTATGTTAATATATGTTAGTTATGTTTATTTATCTACGTTCGTTTATTTTCATTTGTTTATGTCGTTTAACCTGTTCATGAACATAAACGAACGAACATGAACAATATAAATTTTTAAACGAATGAACTTGAACAAGAAAACTAGTTCGTTTATTCGTTTATATTCATTTATTTGTTCGGCTAAGTTAAACGAACGAACATAAACAAGTCATTGTTCGTGTTCGTTCGATTCGTTTACAGCCCTAATAACACACCATCACTTTTTAAGAAACAATCCATCATTCAGCGTCAGACCCGCCAGTTGATTGGCGGCACCACCAGCCTCCGCCAGCTGAGAAATATTCATCAACACCTCCATGGCCTTTGCCACCTTCTCTTTCAAAAATTCCATCTAGTCCATCTCCAAAGGCATCCATGTCAAAATTTGCCCTCATATGTGACTTTTTTTTTTAAAATATCAATTAATTCTCAAAAATAAAATATTATAGAGATGCTAGATGTAGCTAGTCATACATCCACCCCCTTTATAGGGATTAGAAACATATTTTACTTATTACTAATATATACAATGATTTAATTTTTAACCTATTATAGTAACTTATTTAAAATTTTCACCCATAGTAGTAGTGCACTAACATTTTTATACCGAAAAAATCATCCTACTTTCATCTTTTTACCTATAATACAAAGGGTCTTATATTTATTTGCTCATACAAGCAATGTAATTACTTTGCTACCAATATGTATAATGTAGTTTATTTGTTACATATTGCTATTACCAATACATAATGCAAACATGCTACTATTATGAAATATAGTTATGTTACTGTTAAGGGTAAAGGGTAAAGAAATATAAGTACATTGTTATTATTTAAAAAAAAACTAAATTTCATCGCCCATATTGCTAAAAGAAGTAAAGTGTGTTTTCTGCACTTTGCCCTAAAATTTAAGGAACTCATAAACACATTTTTGGTCATTGTAGTGTGTGTGTGTGTGTATATATATATATATATATATATATATATATATATATATATATATATATAT